ATCCATCCATCCATCCATCCATCCATCCATCCATCCATCCATCCATCATCTTTAACCCTTTTCTTCTTTTTTGGTTCACAGGGGTCGTTGGTGCCCATATCCAGCAGTCAATAAAGATGGGGGACACTTTGGGCAGGTCGTAAATCCATCACAGGGTCACATATATAGACATATATAGAAACACATGTCAGTCCACTTTATGTTCCGGATCAACAGCCAGGTCTAGTTTTAATGTAAGCTGCACTTTTCTGTTGCGCAAGTTCTCAGATTCTGAAATAGAGGCTGCAAACACAAAGCGACTGGAAGTCAGCGTTTACTAACACTGAATGCCTCAAATAAGAGCAATAAATTTGTATTTGTTTACAATTTTATCATGAATTACTCCTGCAGAAAATATGGTTTTCGCATTCTGTTGGTCATGTGCTCTAGTCTGCTTTTTCACGTTAAACCAGTAAACTGAAAGCGGAGGTTTGGATCCAGTCAAAAACAAAATCCTCAACAGCACTGAGTGGTGGCACTGAGGTTAGAGAAGGTGAGACTGTGATCGGAAGATCACCGGTTCAACACCCGGTACCGACATCAAAATGTGAGTGAGATAGGTGAAGCACCCACACCTGCCTCCACCCTCATTTGACCTACTCTGGGCCCTTGAGTAAGGCTCTAAACTCCCACCATCTGCTCCTCCAGGTGCCCTGTTAGCTCTCTGCTCCACACAGAGGGCTGCGGTAGCTGGTCTGTGGTTGCGTCAGGAAGGGCATCCAGCGTAAACATAATTGCCAAGTCTTCATGTGATTTAGTTCGCTGTGGCGACCCCTGATGAACAGCCGAGAAAAAAAAAAAAAAAATTGCAGAATAAAGTCTTAATTTCTGACAGATTTTTGCATTGCAAGCTGACCTAACAAACTTGTGTGAAAACAAATTCTTTTTTAAGCTATCTGCAACAAAAATGTTTATATTCTCCTTTAGGATGCTCAGCTGAGCCCTAAATTCAAGCTCCTTCCTTTTATGCATCTCAATAGGAATCCAGCTGAGCGATGGATTTAACCGAGCAGGACTTTGATGCAGTTTGTTAGAAATTTGTGGCTCTGGGCTCGACACAACATTTAGTCCTTGAGATACTCGCTCCAAAACCTTACCATCTTCAGGCCAAGCATCAAGAGTTTTAGCATGGACACAAAAGTGGTTTGTTCTAAAAGAAAAAATAATTAAAAAAAAAAAAAGCTCCTGCATCATTTAATTATGAAGATGTACACAATAAGCTCCCACAGCTGTAGTTTTATACAAAAAGATTTAAATAAGTGAGCACCCCGTCGTTTGTGTATTTCACATGATTCAGTGAATGAAGATTAAACGTGATTTAAATAAGAAATAAAACAAAAATAAACTGAAGTCAGAAAACATGTTGCATGACAATGAAAGCCTAAAAACAAAATACTAAATGAGCATTTCTAAAATTGTAACAGGTGAATTTAAATCCTCTAAAAATATATTTTTTGTGAAAGGTTCCATTGTTAAGAAAATATTCTTAGGCTTACTGCGTGATTAAAATATTTGTGTGAGATGGTAAAATCCATCAATAAGACGTAGCTAAAACCAAACTGACCCAGGGATCTACAACTTAGAATTTTAAAGTGCAGCTG